GCATGTTTAAAAACATTCTTTTACGCGGAAATGAAATCTGAAAATGTAGACATTATTTCCTTGTAGCAATTCAGTACCTTTTAGCCCTCTCTTATCTTCAGATTGGAAACTCCGAAAACACACAAAACTTATTACCTGATGATGTTTAACCTTTGTTCCCATAGTAAGGGCAGCGTTTTCCTGCCCTCACGTGGCATGGCTTATTTTCTTTCCCCTGCTTCACTCTCCTCGTACTATGATACCATATATTCTAACCTCCTATCTAGAATATATGGTACTATGATACCATATATTCTAACCTCCTTCTTTTCAAGGCTGCACAGACTAACGCCGGTGTAACAAGAAGGTAGGGGAAGGTGAAAAGAAGGAAAGTAAAAAAAAAAAAAAAAAAACCTGCTCTGGACCTCTCAGCTTCCCTTCTTCGATCCCGTGTGTTTTGTTTTAAAATCAATCTCCCCCTAGTTCTATGGTGATAACGAATTGAACAAAACAGCTTGGGCGCCATATATTGGGTACCCAAACAGAGAAAGAAATGAAATTCTTTCTCTTGATTATAAATATTGCTAAGAACTAAGCAATTGAAATGACTGAAAAATCAAAGCAATGACATTTTTCTAAATAACAGCATAAATAAATTTAACTGTGAAAGAACAAGACTTTCTTAACCAGAATTTGAAATTACGGAAATCTCATTGAAAAGCATTCTTCAATTAAAATGTTCACAATTAAGCAAAAAATAACAATGAATTAAAAAAATTAACTGCCAACTCAAATAATTTAGTACAAAATCGCTAACAATCTAAACGTGAGGAATCTCTTAAGAATGGATATGCACAAATTAATTTACAAATAGAGACCAATTAAATGATAATTAACTTTAAAAAGAAATGGACATTTAAATACTTGAAAATGAGCAATATAGTTTAAAATTTTATTTAAAGCTAAGATATGTAATTAAAAAGTTTAAGAATCGAATACAGTCTACAACTTATGCAACCAATAGACAGTAAATTTCTGATGACGTCAGAAGTAATGTGAGCATGCGTAACTATGACGTTCCCAAAATCCCGTGATCTCTGATGTCATTTGAGATTTTTGCGACTTTTTAAGTCTCTTTTGCTACTTTGAAAAATTTCTGTCAACACTGGTCTCGGCGCATGATGGCTGTTGGTCGTTTTTGTGAACTTGAAATAACAGGATCGTAAACAGGAAGCTGTTGAAGTGCTCGGCTATCAATCTGTTCAATTTTGAGGAAGAAAGTTTGACTAAGTTTTCTAATAACAACATCAATGAGTTTACTGTTAACGCCCGAGCGAGTCACATCAGTACGGACATACCAGGCTACACTAAGGACTAACCATAGGGTTTGAATTTGAAAGGCTTGTAATTTTTTAATGCGAGTCTTCGCAGCCGTACCCCAAATGGTACATGCGTACATAAAAATTGGTCGCATAATTGAAGTATGGAGAAGAGCTTTATTTCTGATAGACAGATGGCTCTTTCGAGATAATAGAGAGTAAAGTTGGGATCTGAATCTCTTCGATTTATTGAAAGTATTCCCAATGTGAAGATGTAAACTAAAATAAGACAGAGACATGAGACATGACTTTATGATGCAGCGCTTAGCTAGTATATCGAACTAGCTCTCTGCCGGCTCCATACAATACAGATGCACTAGGGTACTAAAAGTAAAAAATTACTTGATCAGGAAATTACACATAATGAAGTTGAAAAAAGGGGGGCCAAAACATGACTGGCACTAGAGGATAGTTTATCTTGAAGCTGTAGAGATGTACCAAGCTCGAGAGGTGGTGCCCTCTATCTTGCTGTGGGAGATTTAGTCTATTCGTCGTTCTGAAAAATCTGAAAAGTGTTACAGATTTTCTAGCATATCAATAAAGTACAATGAAAGTTGTAATTTTTCTTCTTACGAATTTCTCTTTTTAAAGAGCTCAGCAAACTTCAGTAATCTATTGAAAAATCCAACGACTTTATCTAACTGTGCTGCAGAAAATATATCTTTCACAGCGTTAGAGTCCATCATCTTATCAGGAGAAGCTGACGCACGCGCAGTAGCTTTAACATCTGAAGATATATTCCTGGGTTTAGAGTCATTCTTACGCGAGTTTTAGTCAACACTGGTGTTGGTTTAACTTCAGATTTCCTTGGGCGAATTTGGGGGAAAAATTAACATCCATTATAGGAAGTTACATGCGATTTTTAGCATCTCACACATGTCGGATTTTCTTCACCTCTTAATGTGCAAGTATAGGTAAGATGATTATGGCCACACTTAAAACATCTCGATGAGTTATTGCATAATAGTTTTGCGTGCCTAAAACGCTGACTACGGAAACATATCATAGTGCTTCTATTAGATCTGGATATGCGAATTTTAACATGCAGCCTCAATATCGTCTTCCTTTTGCAATAGTCCTGGCTATATCATAACGTGTCAGTGACACGAAAAATACCGGCAACTTTTCTTCTGAATCAGCAGTTTTCCTAATAAACTGAGTGACTTTATCACTGGGAAACCATCGTTACACAGTTCATTCCTGATGTCTTCAACATCAGAGTCTTCTGATAACCCTTTAATGACAACATTAAGAAATGAGTCCTTTTTAAGTCCAAAACGTATTAAATTCAAGGTCCTCTTTAAGAAAAATAGTGAGCGCAAGCTTGCGATTTGCAGCGCAATCAAAATTGATAATGATCTTGTCTCTCATTAATATTCCCGAGTAACCATTTAGACCATGTTTGGTGAACAGGCTTCGAACTTCCAAGAGACCTCCGGTGGGGGATAGACGATCGGCGGTATTCGTTCTTTACTCTGATTTACTGAACTAAAATGAGACATCCAAGTCCAAGTGCTGTTGATATACTTCTAATATCATACTATCTGTATGACGTATTCCGGCTCTTTGAAATAATTGGCCTGTGGGGCGCCTGATAAAAGAGTTTTCCTGGTGTGTGATGATTGGAAGCGAGGTTTTGATGGTGAGATGGAAGACCGTAAGACAGCACACAGCACAAGTCTGAGAAATAAGAATACGTCCTAGAGTGAAAAATCTAAAAAAAAAAAAAAAAAAAAAAACATGAATTTGCAAAAATAAAAGTAAAAGCTAACTTTGACTTTGATTTACAACTCGCAACCATTCCATTCCATTCGAACTCGCAACCATTCCACCAGTGGCGCAGCTAAGATTCCAGCGCCCGGGGACAACTGAAGAATTTGCGCCTCTTTCTGTGTGCCAAGAATGGAAAACATTTTCATTAAAAAATTTCGTTGCATCAATTTGGCGCCGCCCTGGATGCTGCGCCCGGATACAGATGCCCCCCTTGCCTCACCCCAGCTATGCCACTGCATTCCACTTGCAGTTCAGTACGCTGACCACTCAGCTATCTGTGATTGAAAGGCGTTGTCGCTGAAGGACTATTCTTTTCGTATTGCTAATATGTGAATTCTATTGTGGCAGAATACCATGTTTCTATTTTACTTTATTAGTCCAAAGGGGCAATTTGCTCTGAAGGACTATTAATTTCGTTTTGACATTTTGCTTTGAAAACTTTAAAAGGTTCTATCACTTTTCAAATCGTTGCCACCAAATCCTATCTCCCTGTATTATATTTGAAGAAATTAAATAATGAAAAATCTGCATAAATGTATGTATATTTCTCACATTGTGATAAAACAATGGTACTAGAGCCATCCAATTTTGAATGACGTAATTCTACAGCGAATATGGGCATCTGAAAACGCAAATTTGAAGTTTGGAATTTGTTTTATTATCCATTTCATATTTTGTAAAACTTTAATAAATTTTGATTAACAAACTCAAGGATTTCAAAGCGAGCGATGGCAACGTTGTACAGAGGGGAAAAAAAAAAAAAAAAAAAATTCTCCAGCCCGTGAGACTGTGTATCGGAAATTCTAAAGATATGCTCAATTTAAAATTAATTTGCGATATTGCTGTTGAACTGAGTTTTATGGTTTAAGTGCGAAGAACTTGATATATAATAAACAAAGGTAATACAAAAAGTGTTAAAACGCCGCACCTTTAGATGTCATTTAAAATATGAAACCTTTCAGATTTTCCTTTTTATAACTCTACTAAAAATAGGTAGCTATCTAAATACAGAATCTGTAACAATATATTAAAATTTCAAATGGATGTGCAATGCAAAATTAGTAAATTAAAATAAATAGGTACTTTCTAATTATCTGCTCCACGGTTTTAACATTGGTGAATTTTTTTAATGTATTTTTGACCTTATACCACGCATATTAAGTTAGGAAGTTAAGAAATAATAGAGTTACTTTCTATCTTATATATCCATGATATAAACGAGAGCAAGGTTTCTAAAATATCCTATTTTTTACTGTAAGTATTTTACTGATCTTGCGGAGATCGGAGATCATCATTCGCTAAGTGATGTTCGACCCGAAGGCCTTTACCACTACATGTTTATCCTTCCCCTAAAGACCTGTAAAAGTTCGTTAAATTCCATAAAAATGGGAAAATCCTGTGCACATATAATACAAGTGCCGAAAGTCTTCAGTAGTGAAGAAGTTGATCAGGCATGGCGCCATCTATCGGCCACAATTGAAGTCTTCGTTGGATAAGCAATAATAGCAACTAATAACTTTGGCATATCTTTTACACATTATCGTAGATTTGACACAGTATCGTACAGTAAAAATAGAAAATAATCCTGCACGAGACTACAGGAAACCCCACGTGTGCGTACTGTACAGACATTATACACCCAGGCCAGTTAGGCCTGCACTCGTATTTATCAACTTTTTAACTCAAGAGTTTTCGCCTTCAACAGTGCGTTAAGCCGAATTCTGTACCGCAAAATCGAGCGTTGCACCTGCATCTGCGCATAAACAGTTGAAAGACAACTTATTGTAATAACTCAGACTTACCCCATTTATCCTAACAATTAATGTAATTGCCAGCGAGGCCACTAATTGCTGCTGCCAACTTTCTAGCCTGAATCAGGATTTATTGCACAATGCGCGATCTATTATTGTTCCTAAACCTATGACTAAAAGACGAAAAATTTTCTACAAATGTTTCAGATTTGGCAGTTCCCCCCCCTAACGTTGTATTTATTGAAACATAAATTTAAAATGTGATTTTGATTTGGCAACACCAAGTTTGTGTCGTCTGATATTTGAATTTGCGAGAAGTCTTCTTTTATCCGATATAATAAAGGATTATAATATTTTCTTTTTACTTTATTAATTATTCTTAACTAATTTTTCAGTTTACAATATGCGACGTTTAACAATTTTTCGACTGATAAAAAGAACTACATGGTATAAAGGTTATATTCGAAAATTTCATACAAGCATGCTTGTGAATGATCAAAAGTTAGGTAACTCTCGTCCAGACTTAAAGGCTATGCTGGTAAATTCTGCTTCATTCTCTGAAAAAAATGCACCAGATGATGAGTGGATTACTCCTGTTTATCCTGCGAAAATAAAAACAAGAGATCAGTCTAAACATGCAATACGACCACAAGTTGATCCGCGTACTACATGTGTAGTATTGTTTCCTGGTCAGGTTTGTGTGACTGGTATTTTGCATATATATGTGCTCCTTGATTTTAACCTAAGTTTTCTGAAATTCAGGCTTTAACTTCTGATTTCACTTTGAAATGTCATAAGCATACATGTCGATCTGCTTGGCGATTTTAAGAATTATTAAATATAGTTATTTCTGTTATTACAAATATTGCACAGGGTCTTAAGTATGTCTTCATTTTCTGTGAATGGATCTTCATTTTTTCTTTGATTTAGTTTCTTAGTGATGTAACTAGACTGTAAAATAATATATATTTATCTTCTGCTACTCTTTAAAAGTCATAACTGACTTTCCAATATCATTTATTGTATTATATAATCATTGCACAATTGATGATGTTGAAAAGTCAGTAATGATGATGTATTGAGTAGTCAGTTGTGCAATTAATGATATTGAAAAGTTATTTATACAATTAATGATAATGAAAAGTTAGTTGTACAATTAATGATACTGAACAGTCAGGCTCTGATGTCATTAATTGTGCAAATGCTTATTTTGATAATCTTCATATTTTTAATTGTTACAAAATAAGAGAAATTTTAAAATATATAAACAAAAAAGAAAATATACTCGTTCATAATCTGACATTGCATAATATTTTGCTTTGTATATAAATAATTTTTTTCAGTTGTTTAATATTTGAAAAATTGTATTAAAAACATGTTTAATTTTTTAGAATATTAATAGTGAATTACTATAATATTAATATTAATAATGAATATTAATAAACAATGCACTCTAATAGTTAGTTTATGTAATTAATACCATTTTTGTAACATTTTATGGTCATAAATATAAAAAAATAATAATGTGCAAATATTGTTAACTTACATATTATGTTTAATTTGATATATTAAATACAGGTATTTTCTGTATAATGAAAATTTGCTTGAATGCTTTTTCAAAATATCCTATTAATTCCTTTTGTTATTTATGAGAAACAAAAGATATCATTCAGCATTTGTATCATGTTGTAACTGAATAAAATTGTGGTTAATTGTAAAAAAGCATGCAAATATCATTAAGTGTTTATGATATGCAGTGACTGAATGAAATATATGACTTGACTGTGGAAAACATATAGAACTTCTGAACCTTCCGATTACCAGATGAAAACATGTGTAAGTAACCGAATGCACTGTTGTATTTCAAGTCCTTCACATCAGCCACAGCTAAGCATTGTTAATCTGAGAATAAATAGGAAAGTTATGGAAACTGTTTTTCCCTCTTTCTCCTTATCTTTGAACTGATAAAGTCTTAGAAATCAGTGTATCACATATGAATATTTATTATTGTTTCATTCACTTCAGCTCAGAACTTCTGATCATCTAGGTTTATTGCTTTTGTAATCACTTTGTTTTTTTCTTTTTGTGTATGTGAAAGAAAGATAAATGCAGCTAACTCGTATACAATGCAAGTTCTTTGTTTTGAAATTTTGCTTCAGTTTCGGTTGAATTAAAATAGTAAATCAAACATCAAATTGTGGTAAAAATATATTTACAGGTACCCTTTGGTGAAAATTGTCAATTTTTGGCTGTACGAGTTTGTGCAATTCTTTGACCTGTTATTTTGGCTTTATGTAATGACGATTTTAGCGCCAAAAATCGCTGCCAGACAAAGCCAAAATAACAAGACAAAGAATTGCACAAATTCAATATCCATGTATACAATGACCTATTTTTGCTTAAAAGAAATCAGAAAATTTTACAAACTTGGCATTGCATACTCCCTTGACTTTATCCATGTACTTAAAATTTTTCACTTACTATTTTCACTTAAGAAAAATCGCAGAATTGCACAAACTAGGCATTGCGCACTCCCTTGACTTTCTCCATGTACACATCGAACTATGTTCACTTAAAAATTTAAAGGAGCAGCCAATAAAAAAGTATATAATCTCAATAAAACTACATTTTAAATCAAAACATAAAAAAGGAATTCCATCTTTGCATTATGTAAAGGAAATATCCACTTATCTTATTTACGAATTAACATGTCTTTTTCAAAATAGGGTTTCCATAACATTCAACTACTGAGGCTACCATAAATGAAACAACAACTTCACGATAATACAAGGGCTACCCTTCTCTCTACTCCAGAGGCGTAGCTAGGGTTTTCGGCGCCCGGGGACAAGTGACGATTTTCCGCCTCTTTCTCTGTGCCAAGAATGGAAAACATTTCATTCTAAAATTTCGTAACATCAGTTTGGCGCTCCCTGAATGCTGCGCCCGGGGACAGATGTCCCCCTTTGCCCTGTCCTAGCTACGCCACTGCTCTACTCTAACCGAAATGGTTAGTAGAGTTTGTCAATGAAATGTTTCAAAGATTAAGATCCAAATTCATTTTGAAAACATAAAAAGGAAATTTTTTGTGGAGTTAATAAATTAGCTGCTACGTGAGTCGACTGTGCTAAAATGTGATTTACATAGTTTCTGATTATCTGTACCCTCTTAGAAATCTTACCAACACTCTGACAACTCTGTGGATTGGTAAAAAATATTTATTTGGCTATTTGGCTGATCTTTGGAATATGGTAACTGGTAGTTTGGCGACATTTTGGAGGCGATAAAGGTTACTACCTAGGACTTTGGTAATAATGTGAGAAGTACTCAGTTCTGATTACGCATTATTTTGTGTGAGGGAAATGAGAGATCATGAGATATGTCATGTGACATTAATAGACGAATTACAGTTCTTTAATCGGAAAAGGGGGGGATTTGGAAAACTGTAGTACTATATTATTTTCTATTAAGCTTCATTGTATGTTGTGTGAAAAAGTGGAAGTGTGCTTGCCACGTAATGAAGATTCTGAAGATTAGGTAAGTTAGTATTTTTAATTATTTGAGGATATTATTTTTATGCATTGTTCTAAATGTAAGGAGTAAATAAATTAATATGATATTATTGGAAAATTGTTATTAGCAATGATTTAGTTTAAAGTAATTAGGATTGTAGGCTGATCTTTGGAATATGGTAACTGGTAGTTTGGCGACATTTTGGAAGCGATAAAGGTTACTACCTAGGACTTTGGTAATAATGTGAGAAGCACTCATTTCCGATTACGCATTATTTTGTGTGAGGGAAATGAGAGATCATGAGATATGTCATGTGACATTAATGGACGAACTACAGTTGTTTAATCGGAAAAGGGGGGAAATCTGGAAATTTCGTATTTAGCTATATTCTGTGTTGTGTGAAACGTGACATTAATGGACGAATTACAGTTCTTTAATCTTTTCCGAAAAGCTTCATTGTGTGTTGTGTGAAATAGTGTTGATTAATTTTTGCATTGCATGGCGCTATGTAAAGTGAATTCTAAATTTTTAATGTGTTAATCTGATAATAATAATAAGTTGAGATTGTGTGAAAGGAAGGATATTAGAAGTTTAAATGGCCGTGCAAGAAATATGGTGAAAATGGACATTTTGTGAAAAGGAGTGTAAGGAAGGGTACGTGGTTTGTTGAAAGTAGTTTGAGTATAGGTGAAATTTTATTAATAGCTTATTACTTGGTGAATAGACTTCCAGTTGACTACTGGATTTAGGATTTAGAAATTAGCAGTAGTACTGCAGCGACGTAATGAAGATTCTGAAGAAGATTAGGCAAGTTAGTATTTTTAATCATTTGAGGATATTATTTTTATGCATTGTTCTAAATGTAAGGAGTAAATAATTAAAATGGTATTATTTGAAAATTGTTATTAGCAATGATTTAGGTTAAAGTAATTAGGATTGTAATCTAATTTTATTAATTTAATGTATATGCTTATTTATATTTTAAATAGTGTTTTTTAATTTAATTATATTTTAATTTAATGATCGTGATTTTGTGAGTTATATGTTTGTAGTATTTTGGAATATGCTTGAGTAGTATACGTTGAGTATTTTCATGCATTTTCGTGAAATTTTTCTAATTTATGAGAAAAAAGCAGTGTACATGGATATAGTGAAGAGTGTGCACAATGCCATTTTTGTGCAATTCTGGGATGTTTTTTTAAGTAAAAATAAGTCGACTTGTACATGGTTTAGTGATATTTTAATTAAATGATAGTTATTTTGTGAATTTTATGTTTGTAGGAATTTGGTATACGTTTTAGTTGAAGTAAACGTGCATGGAAATAATTTAAATATTTGACACTAAGTATTTGTGATGTTTGCGGTATGAATTCGTTGGTGACGTTTATAATATAATAGATAATTTAGAGGTACAAGTTTTTGGATATTTTATTTATTTTATACCTGGAAATGTTCATATTTGGAAAGGATATATACTTTTTCGCGATAAGGTAATTTCATATATGTTCTTTTTACCGGGTTTAAAGATTCAGAAAATTGTCATGCATTTTCATGAAATTTTTCTAATTTATGAGAAAAAAAGCACTGTACATGGATATAGTGAAGAGTGTGCGCAATGCCATTTTTGTGCAATTCTGGGATTTTTTTTTAAGTAAAAATAAGTCGACGTGTACATGGTTTATGTGTATGTGTTATTGTGAAAAACGCGCAAGGAGTTTCCGATTGTGCACTTTTTCCCAATTTTGCAGTGAATATTTGTCATGATTAAGCAGTTTTGTTAGATAAAATTTCTAGTATAAGTGTAATTTGGCTAGTAGATTGTTGGAAAAAGTGTTCAGTAAATAAAAAGAAAAGAAACATGTCTTTACTTCGTGAAGACAACATGGCGGCGGAAAAAAAAAAAAAAAAATAGAGGGTTGCTGTAGCAGAGTTGGTCGCCAAATTTTCGCCAAAAAATCATTAAGTTACCATAATCCAAAGATCAACCGGATTGGGCGTCTAATTTTTATTAATTTAATGTATGTGCTTATTTATATTTTAAGTAGTGTTTTTTAATTTAATGATCATAATTTTGTGAATTATATGTTTGTAGTATTTTGGAATACGTTTGAGTAGAATACGTTGAGTATTTTCGTGCATTTTCATGAAATTTTTCTAATTTATGAGAAAAAAGCAGTGTACATG